ACCAGCCCCGGCACCAGCCCCAGCACCGCCACTGCATCGCCTCGGGGGGGTTCAGGGGATGAGGCTGAATATAGACACAAGCATTTTCCTGGCAGGGATTGCTCAGCCATGATAGGAAGGTGCGAATGGCGGGTGGGGGGGGGTCCTGGCACAGGGCTCACAGCCGCCGCGGTGCAGATAAGGGCTTATCTGCTTCTTAACCTCTTGTTTTAGTTCCTCCCCTGCATGGGGAGGGCAGGAGTGGATCCGCGTGCCCAGCAGGACTGCGGGCTGTTGTAACAAGCTGAGCATTTCCTTTTTCCTCCAAAAAAAACCAACAAGGAAAGCCTGTCACCTGCACGCTTCCCCCAGCAGCAAGACCTGACTGTGGCTGCAGCCAGGCAGAGCATCGTCGTCATACGGTGCCGAATCTCCCAGGAGCATTGGCATTGGCTGCACTCGAGTGAGGAATTTCCCGCTTTCCATGAAGGGGCTGTTTAAAAATAGGAGAGGGGGCAGAGGGCAGTGAGAGACACCCAGGCAGCAGGGGAGGGATGGGGGAGATGCATGAGTGGCTTTTCAGCATGCTCACTGCACTCCCCCTTGCTCTTTGCAGATCTCAAGCTGGAGGTGAGCAGCAGCAGCAAGTTGGCACCGGCAAGTGTCGAGGCCAGGCGGCTGCTGCCCCGGGACCACCGCCCCAGCCCCTCCCTCTTCCCCAGGGCAGAGGGGAGGGGGCAGTCAGCAAAAGCCCAAAGTGATGCCCTGACACCCAAAAGCCAGAGCCCTGGTGCCAGGGAGATCCAGAAAATCAGCTCGGTCCTCTGTGCCACGGCACCACAGGCTGCCAGCACAGCCAGGGAGCCAGGTACCCCCAGCCGCCCCTTGCAGGCCGGCAAAGCTGCCCCTTCTTTCTCCCCGGACCCCCCCAGCCACATGCCACCAGAGCTGGGGAGTCTGGGGGAAGAGGGTCCTGCCTGGCCAGGGGGAGACAGGGCTGAGATGAGCCAAGGGAAGGAGCATTCTCTGCCCAGAGCCACAGCGGAGACACACACCACCAGTGCCGAGCCCCCAGGAACGGCACCCACCCGCAGCCTGCAGTACCCAGCCCAGCTGGTCAGCGAGGCGCTGGAGGATGCTCTCAAGGAAATGAAAGATGATGCTCAGCCCAAAGAAGAGCCCACGCTCAGCCCTGTTCCCCCCGTAGAGGCTTGCAGAGGGGCAGGGGAAGGGCAAGACCCCTCCGAGGGTGCCGGGGATGGTGAAGCCCCCAAAGCAGAGGAGAGGGCTGGGGAAGCCGTGCTCCAGGGGCTGGGTACGGAGAGCAGCGCTCTGCAGGACGGAGCTGCATCCCCACCAGGACCACATCCCTGTGGCACGGCTGCTTCCCTAAGTGCCACGGCAAGCTGGGAAGAGATGGGAGTGTGGGAGGAGGAGATGCCCACTGTGCTGAGCTCAAGGGAACCAGACGTGGTGGCCCAGGAAGAGGACGTGAGTGGCCCTGGCCAGGCAGGCACTGTCCAGGAAGATCCAGAGCGAGGAGAGGATGAGGCAGAGGCCCCAAGCAGGGAGGCATTGCAGCCCTTGGAGGATGAGGAGGAGAGGGGATCACATAGCCCCTGTGGGGAAGATGACGATTTCCAGGGTGAAGGGATGGATTTGCAAGAAGGAAAGTCCCTGCAAAGGGAAGTTGAAGCTGCTCATGCTGTCCCTGTGGGAAGCCACCCAGTTTTGCCCACAGAGAGTCACCTGGAAGAGGACCTTGTTGATGGAATGCAGGAAAATTTTGAGCATCGGGAAATGCCCATGAGAGAGATGGATCTGGCTGCAGAGGAGGAAAGGGGGCAGGAGACACACCCAGGGCAAGAAATGTGCCCAGAGCAGGAGCCCTCAAACATCCATGAGGCCATCCCAGCAGAAGAGGTTTCATCAGGGGCTGAAGAAGATGCTGTGGGAGGGGAGGACCCAGGCAGAGCAAAAGATGGTGAGGGAGAAAAGGGAGAGGCCAGCGGGGAGGTGCTGGGAGGAGAAGACCCTGGGGCAGGAGAGGCTGCAGGACCTGAAACCCTGGGGCAGGAGAGCAGAGCCTGGGAGGAGCCCGGGGACCTGCAGGAAAATGGCTTTGTGGAAGAGGTGCTGCAGCAGGAGGAGCTGGAGCCAGAGCTGGGACAGGAGCCCTGGGGCAGGGGGGATGATGGCAACAGCCAAAAGCCCCATCCAGAGGACTGGGAGGTGACAGCAGAGGACGCAGAGGGGGCTCTGGGGACAGAAGAGCCAACCTGGGCAGATGACACCCCAACAAGTGCAGGAGGGCTGGAAAGTGAGGAGAGAGGCGACATGTCACCAGCAGAGCTGGAGGAAACCCGGGAAGATGATGAAGAAGATGCCGAGAGCCAGGAGATGAGCCAGCAGCAGCCACCACCGGAGGCTGAGCCAGCCCCGGGGCTGGCGAGGGATGAGCAGGAGGGCACCGTTGGGCAGCCTGCCTGGGCACCCGCAGATGCCCCCGGGCGAGGGGACAGCCAGGAGCTGGCCGAGGCTCTGGAGGAGTCATGGGAGGTGCAGGACGATGAAGCTGACAACGAGCTTGGCTCGGACCCAGGACAGCCGGAGAGCAGCAGCACTGGCCCTGTGGCACTTCCACAGGCTCCAGGTGAGGGCATGGAAAGTGGCAAGTTGGCGGAGGAGGATGCTGGGCAATTGGGAGAGCTGGAGCAGGCACCAGGGATGGGCAGGAGGGTGGAGCTGGAGGACACGCTGCCAGACAGCACACCCTTGCACCTCTATGAAGGGGAGATGCTGCCTGTGGTTGCACCCAGCCAAAACCCTCCGGAGACTGAGGAGGCCACAGAGACAGCTCCTGCATCTGAAATAGCTCCAGAGGATGAAGGATGGCTGGAAGAGAGGGACAAGCCCCCAACTCCCACGGAGAGCTGCGAAGAGGAGGCAGGGACTGAGGTAGCCCCTGCAGCAGAGGGTGCCGAGGAGGAGGAAGGCTATTTCATGGTCTCTGCTCCCAACCAAGAGACGTCCAGCTCAGAGGAAGCCGAGATCTCTGAGGACTTTGAAGAAATTAAAGTTGAAGCAACCGAAGCCAGCAAAGATGATCTGGAAGCTCCTGGAGAAGTGTCTCCAGTGCCAGAAGATGAAGGGCACTTTGAGGCATTTGTTGGTGAAGCAGATGAAGACATGAAGATGCCCACAGAAGAACCTGAGATGCCAAAGGATGAGGATGAGAATGAGGACGATGCTGGGGGGTTTACTGCTGAGCTGGAGGAAGGTCCAGCTGTGCCCAAGGCAGATCCTGGCTTCCCTGGGGCCACGGAGCTGTTAGCAGCCCAGGGTGTCGGAGGCTCCAGCGTGTGTGACAGACCAGGGCACTCAGAGGGCTTGGCCACCGAATCGGTCGAGAACCTCGACAGTACAGTGGAGCAGGAGAGCAATGTCAGCAGAGGCGAAATGATCCCAGGCTGCAACCTGGGGCTGGTGGGGCAGGAGGAGGAGGAGGAGGAGGAGGATGAGCCCGGCACAGCTCACCACGACACAGCCGAGCCCATCCCTCTGACAGGGCTCCAGGCCCAGGTGATGCCGGTCTCTCTGCTGCCTGACCAAGCGGAGCAGACATCGGATGACCTGCCAGCTGTGGAGGAGGAAGCACCAGACGGTTACAGCCCTACCCCAGCCAGGGACGAGGAGCACCCCGAGGCCGACGCACCTCGGCCGGGCTCTGTGCCGGGGCAGGAAGGTTTTCCGGAGATAATTAAAGAAAGCCCAGAGGCAGCTGATCTCTCTGCAAAGGTGCCGGTGGACATCATGAAAGACTCAGATATTTTGGAAATAGTTGAGCAAGCCCTGGAGTTCAATCAGGAGCTGGTGATGGGGGCAAGGGCGGCCGAGGGCGGGCAGTGGCATCCCAGTGGGACCAAGCTACCTCAGGACACTGGGGAAGATTCCTCGCCCGCCTCATCCAGCGAGGAGGAGCCAACAGTGCAGGAGGCACCAGCGGATGTGGCACTGGGGACGGAAGGTCCGGTTCGGGCTGAGAACGGGCTGCACCGGGAGGCCAGCCTGGAGGACCTGGCCGAATTCACTGAGGAGGTGCTGAACAGCATCAGCGGCGTGCCGCCGGCACAGGA